GATTCTATGATTCTATGATTATAGGCATCAGTCCCCATTTTTAATAGCACATTTAATCTTGTATTCTAATGTGAAAAGCTGATGTCAATTTTGTCGACACCTCGTCATTTGGAAAAATCCTGGGGATGTTCAGACGAGTAGCTATAATGTCATTTTCTCTGCAGGTCCCAGGATCTGGGGTGAGAACCTGGGTTAGTGTCTCTTCCATTCAGTGTATATTATTCTTTTCTAGTTTTGGCTATTTTTTTTTCCACAGGAGTATCTCCCATATTTAAGGTGATTAGGTGTCTCATTAAGATCATGATCTCCACAGAATGCCCTCTGTTTTTTTTTCCTTTTAAAGGTATTAAGGTGTCAGCTGAAAAGGAAGATATCAGATAGTAATTTCAGTGGATTAATTGCCTGAGTGCCCAGATGATTTGAAAACAGGCCATTTCTCATTAGCATTGCAAAGGGAACCATCCTCATCATATACACAATTCTGTGATTCTATGATCACCTGGTTTCAGTGATTCCTCATTAGTTTTCCCTCTTCTACCATTTTCCCCACTGTTTTCCCTATTCCACCATTTTATCAGCGTTCCTGATTTTCTTTTACTAGCCTTTGTTGTCTAAAGACTCTGATACATTTGGGTGAGCAAAAAACCAAAGCCCTAGTCAGCCAATTTAGCCCCACAACTTGATGAAGGACAAAAATGCTCCCAACATTCTCAATTATCTCCAGAAGGGTCTGGTAAGTCCTCACTGTTGATTAAACTAAGAAATTATTAGCTTCTTGTAGAGTATCTTAGATCACTCCCAATTGCTGCAGTCTGTTTGCTCTCTTTCTGTTAGACTAGGCCCTGCTACTTAGGCTAACATGTGAGTACAGCAATACTCCATCTGTACAGCACATAAAAGTTTGCCAATGAAGAGTGTTAAAAAAAGCCACAATTGAAACAACTAGTTGACAGAAACACTAATGTACACAATGTTATACCAAAAGCTAAATCATTTTACCAGCAGTGTTTATTTCTCCTTGGGGACTGTCTCAAGCTTCACCAGAAGAGAACTCTGGCCATTAAACTCTCACAGCCTTTAGCTATATAGTCAGCTCTTTCCATAAGCAGACAAGACTTAGGTATTCTGTGCCCTCCTTGAGGAAGAACATTCTAAGTTCACACATGCACATTTCTACAAGTAAGTTTCTTTTTTCTGAAAGGATTGTTTTGGCTGTTAGCAAATTCCTTGCCAGTGTGAGAAAGAGGCTTCCTTTTTCCACCAACTACATTTAAGTTTTAATATAACAAACTTAGACAAGTTTGCTTACACATTTTAAACTTCCATTGTAGAGTGAGAGCTACAAGTTTATATATCAGCAAGGCAAATTGAACCCCATGGGAAGTGTGTAAGAAAAAAAAGTATTAGCTAACATATTTTATAAGCACCCTTTATTCCAATCCTGACAGCGTTTAGAAAGTTTGAGAGCAAGCTGGGTTTCTGAGAAGTCAAATCACCATCCTTATTCCCCACTGTTCGAATCGGCTAGGTAGTATTTCAGTTCTGTGATTCTGTATTTGATTTTTAAGTGTGTTCTAACAACAACAGCATACAATTTTGTATTAAAAAACTCTATAAATTTAAGGGACAAGAGCAGAGGTAATTTCAGCAGCTCTGTGCACACTGTACTCTATGTGAAAAATTGTGATAGTTCATGCATGAATAGCCACAATTATAGTTTATGTGAGAAACACGGTGATGGGTGTCATATATTAAAGATTAGAATCTGACTTTATATGGCCTCTCTCACCATCAGTCATGTGCTTAGATTTTAATTTTTCTTTTAAAATATAAGAGAACAACAATAATTTTCTGTGTCTTTAAAATGAGAAGCAACCAGGGGTAAAAGGAAATTATTTTTCATTCTGTAGAGATTAGTGACATCTAAAAAAGCCTCATTCTCTAAGAAGAATGATTATCTCTGAGACACAATGGCAGAGAAGAATATAAAAAATTTCTCCCAGAGTCACACACATTTGTCAACCTTTATTCCTCTTTATATTTAACTTAATTGTCACAAATGGTGCTTATAACCCCTCCTTTTGTTACCAAGAACATAGTCCAAGGATGAGCTGTGAGCCTTCCATCTTGGTTTGCTCAGCTGTTTTGCTTCAACTTTGACCTAAGCCATGCATCTATTCAAACCTTCACACTGCTGATCAAACTTCCCTGATAGAAACTACCCTGTTGACTATAATGACTCTTTTTCACAAGAATCTAGTCTCAGAATCACTACATTATTCCACAGAGGAACAGCACAGGCCTTGCCCATGCCTAGCAAAAATATTGCATTCAATTATAAATCAACACGCCATAGTGCTGCTGCTTCAAAAAAAAAGATGTATGACAATTTTAGGACTGTCACTGTTCCTCCAAAATCCCAACAGGTATGTTAAGAACAGTGAATTATCCTTTTTTTTTTTTTTTTTAAGTTTTAAAAGAGTGGGAAGGAAAAAGATATTACAGCATCTGCCTAGCAATCATGATGTTAGAACAGTTACCTTATTTGTACTTTCTACCTTATCTCTAACTGATTCTATTATTTATTATCAGCATTAATCACTTTTTTAATGGTAACATGTAAGCAGCAGTCAAGAGTGAGGCCGTATCATGCCATATACTGTGCAAACGCAATGTGGCAGATAACACCCTGCGCCCTACAGAGCCTGGCAGACAAACTCCAGCAGAGGCACAAGAGAAAATACTAGCCAGGAAAGTCTTATTTTATCAGTGTTAATGAAGAATGAGAATATGTGCAACTGCTTTTCTTTACAGACTTGCATATTTGACTCCCATCACCTCAACAAGTCATGTTTTCCTTTGGCAGTAAAGTGTTATGGTAAAGGCACAGAAAAATCCATTTCCTTGTGTGTGCAAATTGCTCCACTTCCCGCTGAAAACAACCCAGGTACTGACAGTACACAGCTTCTGTTCCAAACATCTTTTGATAGGACCCTTTGACAGTTTCCAGGCTCAACTACCAAAGCTGACAGTTTTAGAGGACCTACATCAGCTGCAAGGTCTCATGACGCTTGACACTGACCTTCTTGGCATGCCAGAACCCAGATCAAATCTTCACTATTCTGAACGATTCAGACTAATTAAACAAAACCAAACTCACAAAAGCAGAACAGATGACCAGCATTCCAAAATGAAGGGCCTGAGTTACTTGATGATACTATGCTCTTTTACTTTATTCCCCTAGGTTACACTCAGATACACATTTCTTTACAAACAGAAATAACAAGCAGCACTCTCTGTTCACTTTTAGAGGAGGGCTTTTAGTTGTTTTAAGTGCAATGCACCAAACTTACGGCATCACTTTGAGGCTGTGAGATCACAACAGGCTCTCCGGAATCACACGTCTCCCGTATATTAACATGCAGTGGAATGTCTCCTGTATCAAAAATACCAAGACAAAAATATGTGAAGACATAATCTCTCTTAAATCTTTCATTAAAATAGCCTCAAAGCAACTTGAAACGAAATTCCAGTTTGGTATATTCTTTGAATTACTTAATATCAAAAAGTTAGCATTTAAAACGAAAACTGGCTGCAGTACAGTTTTTGTACATCCATAATTAGTGCCAAACATAACCTAGATTTTTCATTCTCTGAATAGGAAGGACAATGCTTTGTAGTCATTTATTAGAGAAAGCAGATTGCTTTTTTGCCTCAAATACACAGAAAAACAAACACAGGCTGAGATATAAATTATTTTGCGTACATTAAAGAGTGTTAGGCAAATGCTCATCGTGTTCGGCCTATCTCCTCATAGTATATTCTTTTCAGTGCTGTTTTAAGATTTTAATCACTGTTCAAAGACTTCTTTGAATAGTTAATTTCCAAATAATAGCATTTGTTATTGTCCTTATTAGGCCTTGGATACAAGTAAAAGGTAGACAACTATTCACTCTTCTTTCCAATAGAATCTTTATATGCTGCTTTTATAACAAGCAGGGAACTGTCAGAGAGGAAAGGAACACTCTAAAAGAGAAACAATTAGCAGCCTTATTTCATTCTGAAATAGTTTTTTAGCACTAAAGAAAACTTGAAGTTCCCATGTTTAGTTCATTGCTACACAGATAATCATGAAGTTCTTTTAATAGAAGACAGCTATATTGTACATCATGGATGCCTGTAGACAGAACAGCCTACCTCAGTTCAATCTTGACTGGTCTTAGAAACTGTTTCCCTTTAATTCACATACTTCAGCAACATAACCCAAAACAAGGCCTGTGTAAATTTTTGAAGTTCAATGTAGTCAGAAAAAGAAACATTAAAACAAACTCTATGAAAACTGACACAGTTTAAGAGATTAAAAAAAAAAAAAAACCAGAACCAAAAGCAAGCAGGAATACAAACAAAAAACCTAAACAAATAGCAAACACAAAAGGACCCTTAAAACACTCCATGATTACTGAGTTGAATCTGTGAAGAACTTTCATTTGTTATTTATGATGATTACAGTGCATTTCCTTCAAATTTAATTCTTATTTGTTTTGATCATGAATAAATTTATTGAGGCATAAAAGTCTGCTCATTTATTTATTAAAAATATATATATATATATGGTGTCCTTTGAAAGTTTTTTTTTAATCTAATTGTTATAATACCATATGGTATTATTACATAAAGGTCATCCCTAGAAGAAGGAGCATACTAATCAGATCAAGTTCTGTACTTCTAAATTTAACCCTTGGGGTATTATTCTTAATCTTAGTCTGGTCTTTCATTGACAGTTTGAAGGTAAACTTCACCCTGCTTTTCTTCATACATCTCATCCATTGCCTGCTAAACCTGTAAATCTTTCACATCACTCCTAATTAAATACAATCACAACCAGTTCTGCCCTCTTAGGGAATAACAAAAAACATCTATGGGACCAACGGCACAGCACATCGTTTGTGCCTGTTTATTTAAATACGTTTGATTCAACTGCTTGCACACGATTTGCATCCATCCACATAACCCAGGGCTGAATAAGTCCCCTTGAGTTCTGATCACAACTCATCATATATTCAGAAAACTAAAAGATAGCCCAAAAGCATGTCTTTAATTATGTGTGGCCTTCCTATTTTAAGTTTATGTCAGATCTTAATGTTTCTGTGTTGATCTCTCTAAGTGAGCTTCCTGGTTCTTTTTAATGAACTAGCTATGGAAAATCATTGAGATAATTATAGCAATACATGGAAACACATCATTAGCACATGCAATTATCCCATTTACCACCTTAATTATGCTGTGTTATATTCTGTTTTTTTCTTTTTTATTTTTCCTGACAGCACAGGTTGAAATATGCCTTTTTAAACGAGCCATGTATTTTTTAAAGATAACTGTTTATGTTATAAGCATGCCAGATTGTTTAATCATGGCTAATTTTTTTTCAATAAAGATAAATTTTCTTCTGAAACAACACAACTATAAACATTACAGTCTGCTTGCTTCCATACAAAAGTCAAGATATCTTCATACCGGCATAAAAACAATTGCTTTAAAGGACTGCATTTCAAATTACCATATTTATTTTAATATAACTCATAAATGAGAAAACTTAAATTGAGATTAATGGACAGCGTTAGGGCTGTTTTACAAGACCAAATAGAATTGTTGGATATTTGTAAAAGATGTTGTATGATCAATAAAATAATGAATTTCAGGTAATATAGCACATCAATATCAAATCATGTGCTATATTGTTTATAAATCAAAATATATTTCAGATGCAATTCAAAAATTTCCACATCCAGTCCACATCCCAATTACAAGAATGATGCTGATAAAGAACACAGCCTACAAACAGCGTGATGTTCAACTACTGCAGTTATTAGTTCTATTGTATTTGGACACTGCCTGAATATAGAGTAATCTAAGATTATGCAATTTGGTACTTCAGTTAATGCTTACCTCACACATGCCATTAAATTTAAAAAAAACCAAACCCACCACCAAACCCTACCTCTGCATCTTACCTAAAGTATCCAATCCCAGGGTTTTCGCTAGATCCTTTACACCATCAGCTCCGAAAATGTGTGTCTCATGCTTACATTTGGGACACTGGAAAACACTCATATTTTGAACCAGTCCTAAAACCTGTTAAAGTAAAAGAAAGGAACACTCAAACCTGGGATTCAATCATCAGTATTTTCATTATTCATGTCTGACAATAAAGAAGAGATTAGCAACAAAGAATTGACAGAGTATTCATTTATAATAGGCAGTAGCAGTAATATCAGACTCATTAACATCACTGTCAACTCTTACTAGTCATCTCAGTTGCACTATCATCTGTGCATTACTTCAAGTTTTTCACATTTATACCTCTCAAAGGTAACAGAAAGTTACAAAAGTACGAAGTACCTCTTTTACAGGCCTATCTTTCCACAAGCCTCCCTGCCAGTATTTAATTTTTGAACTCTGAATACTGGAAGAATTGTCGTGTTGTATTTTACAAATTTGTAATTTGCAGTTTCAGGAAACGAAAAATAAAAACATACTTTTACAAGAAATGATACAATCACACAGGTTTTTAAGATATTTTTATAAGTTATGCTGTAGGTAAATGTTTTCAAAAAGAACCAGATTTGCTGTTCTTCTGAAGAGCAGAAACACATTTTAAATATCAAGCAGAAGAAATAATTAAGTTGCAAAAAACACAGCATAAAAAGCTAATACACACATATTGGGTACCTTTCTGTTGATGCCAGGTGTTCAACATCATCCTTACAAAATATGTCAAATGAAATTTGCCAAATCATGCACACAATAATCTTCTTTCATAATGTACAATAATGCTAATGATAGCACTGATCTCTTTTTATTCACCTACTAAACAAAACTGTTCATTGAGGCAGAGCAGAATTTCTGAAAAGTGATGAAAACGGCATTCAAACATTACAGGGTGAAAGCTTCTACCCATCTGCTAACAACAGAAGACTTGCTTTAAGCGACTCCATGTTACAATATTTCACTTTAAGATTTATGCTATCTAATGTCACACATACTATAGCCAAGTTTTAAAAATATTAATATATATTTTAAAGTAAAACACCTTCTTTGCAGCATTTTATACTCTAAAATTTCCCTGACTATTCTAAGTTTTGTGTTTGAACAAGCTGGCCTAGTTATTAGAGGAGTAACCTATCCACTGGGCTAACAAAGCATATCTAAAAGGATATATGAGTGTTCAATGCAACCAAAAAATATTAAATTATTTAATTAATAGTCAATGTACAACTTCTGGCATCAAAACTGAAAATAGAAAAGTACTTATTTACAATATCTTAATAAAAATTTCATTATATCTAAGATAAAAACAATCTAAAGATGATCACTTGTTTTTTCTACACCACCATAACGTGTTACACACTATTTTATAAGAAGTCTTCCTTTAGTCCTTTAAAACCTTCAGAGGGTTTAAAGCAAGGAACATTTTAAGAAACAGTAACAACAAAGCAAAGAAAAAAAAAATTACCCGCTTTCAATTTAACACCACAAACTTGCTGCATTTTCTAATATCTCTCAGGGACTGCCAGACAAACAAGAGGAACAAGTTTTTGCGTAGTGGCACATTATTACAGGTAATTTTCTCATCCAGTTCTTAAAATAGGAGAGACATGAAATACTACACGTCCAAGGGTACAAGGTGCAGGATGGCAAAAAGGGCTCTCTACAGCCACAGCCTCCTAGTGATGACCTCCGAGCAGGCATTCATCCTGCTCTCCATAAATTGAAGTAATGTAATTTTGACTGTGTAATTTTGATTGAAGTCATGTAATTTTTGACTGTTTAATATATAAATTATTATTATGGATTATGAAGATTTTTTTTAATATCAAGTTGCCGATTATAAACAACCAGTTTAACATAGAATCTTTAGTGCTGAAGTGTATTTTTAACATGCATTATTTCTGCAGATATATTTACAGAAGGAAGAGTGTTCACTCTCATCTTCAGAGCTTTTAAATCTACAAAGTAATAAGTCTTGCTAATGAAGTCAGTAATAACTCTCATTTCCCTGTTCAAATAATAGGTCTGGAAAAGCTTCAAAGCAGCTGCTACTGTCTGCACAAGCTACCCATAAGTATGTGTGAATCCTATTCTAGTCCTCAGTGAGCTTTCCCTGTATATTTCTCTGCAAACTCAGCTCAGTAATGACATGAAAGCTAGTACGACGAGATGGACCGCAGCTAACTAACCTATGGCAGCAGAGGAGAGGGTAGTTATAATGCACAGAATCTGATTCAGTCAAATCATTATTTTAAACAGTGAAGAGACATCTATCAAGAAATACAAGTAAATGAAAAAACCTTTCATTATAAATTATCTGCGCACACACCATTTCTGAATATTTACGTATTTCTTATGCTCAATTAACCTTTTGGTTACACAACAAATCATGCCAAAATCCAAATATACTACCTTCTAAGTTAAAGAAAATACAATGAGAACATAAAAGCCCTGTCTTTACATGAGGAGACAATTCCTGAGAAAACCACTTCAGTCATTCACTGTACTTAAGAACGTATGGTGCCGAGGTCCGACACCAATCTCACGGGGGCTGAAGTGATCAGGGATACAGTTCTGCAGTCTGCAATCGACCTTCGATGTAACCATCAGTCAGTCACTTGACAGTTTAGTGCTTCAAGTAAATGTGCACAGTAAGTTTTCTGTCTTCCTACCTGTCGTCTTAAAATGAGCAATTTTTGGCTCTAACTTCCTCTCCCAAAGTAAAGCCACAATCCTGGCTGGATACTCTGGATGCTACAGAAACACCAGTAAGTATACCACCAAATAAGCAATTTTATTACATCTCAAGAAGAAATACATAGCTGAATTTACATATGAAGTTTTTGAAACCTGTGTAATCCACAACATAACATTCCAATTGAAGGAAACTGCCAGAAAAATTGCAGATTTAACTAAAAACCTATCTTTTTCTTTCAAGGGTATAATTGATAAGATAAATCACACTTAACTGAAGTCAATTTCAGCAGGTGAAAAAGGCTGTTTTTTCCTAAATACACAAAGTTATTCAATTGTTTGGTTTTTTTGGTGGGTGGGTTTGGGGGGTTTTTGTTGGTTTTTGGTTTTGTGGGTTTTTTTAATATTTGCCCAGGGCAAGCCTGTGGTATACATGAAAACAATGGCCAAACTCACATAATGGGTGACAATCTTGAAACTTGTGACAGGAGACAGCACCACCCTACAAACTTGTTCTTGGAACAAGTTGCTCAGAGAAGCTGTGGATGCCCCATCCCTGGAAGTGTTCAAGGCCAGGCTGGATGAGGCTTTGAGCAACCTGGTCTAGAGGAGGGTGTCTCTGCCCATGGCAGGCGGGTTGGAACTAGATGATCTTTAAGGTCCCTTCTTACCAAAACCATTCTAGGATTCTAAAACTGACTCTCATTGCCAGCTTTTCACCAGTTCCTTCAGTTACTCTAATTTCAACGCAGTAAAAGACAAATATTGTTAACAACTGTGAGTTTACTGTGCTAATATTACATATGTTATTTGAGACATATGGTAACTAATGGCTGTTACGGTGAGGGGATGGTGGTATATGTATGCCTGTATGTGCAAAGGAGAGACTCCAGTTTATTAAAATAAGCAAGCATATTCAAGGACTCATAGCTAAGCAACATACAGACTCTCCAACTCTTTGCAAGCACTTTTTTAAAGATTAAACATTTTAAAGATTAGATTTTGTAAGATCAGTCAATTATAGAATCAGGATATGCAATTTTAGCACAATCCCACAGATTCCACCTCTGATGGAAATCTCACATTTGAAGCTGTCCATCAAAAATAACGTAACTAAATTTTCTCTAGATCCGCAGATCTAGTTGACACTTAGAAATGGAATACATAGGCAGGAGCTGTTTTAACACTGATGTCAATGGCACACCTGTACTGATGTATATCAAGGTTAAAATAAAATGAAGTGGCACCATGAAAAAGGTAAGACCTGATGACTGGTTCAAGTGCATTCAAACTCAACATCTGGCTCAACAGCTTCACTGTGACTTTTAATCTGATTTAGCTATCTGAAAATTCCAACAAAAAACAACAGATCATATTTAGTATCTTATCTACCACTATTCAAATTAATAGCAGTCAAGCCTATCCTAGAATGCATGATTTTCTTAGAGGCTATTCTCTTCAAAGAACATTGAACAAAACAGAAAAATATTGGTAATTTCTCATTAAATCTAAAGGAAAATTCAGCAAGGTACTAACTTCAACACAGTTTTACTTTAAGAAAATAATTTTGCATAATTCTAGCAAACCCAAACATAAAATCAAAACAACATTCCATATGTTATACTTCTTTTACATGTGTTGTTCTTCTAGTAGCAAATGATAAAAGCTACTATACTTTCATTTCAGTGTAAATATGCTTAAGAACAGTTAACAATAAGGAATTTATCAATGTGTTTCTTTTGTTAAGCTGTTTTGTAAATTAAAACACAAAGGGAAAAGTAGTCACTTCAAGGTTTCCATTGCATTTTTTAGATTAACAAAGCATTAGCTATGAAAGAAATTTTCTTTCTTAATAAAGAGTACAAGTAACTTTCACAAGGGTAGGCAAGGAAATGTAATTTTTAAAGTACATTAAACAGCTTTTTCTCTTTGCTGTTTAAGATAAGGAAGCAATTTGGCATATATTTTCTCGTCATGTGTACATTTGAAATGAAAAATCTCTTTTTTCATTTGAAATGTAGAGTTTCATGTATTTCTTCATGAACACACTCTAGAGTATAACATCAGTTACTTAGCAACTTGAAGCACACAGAGAAAATACCTAGTCAAAGATGTCACCCTGTTTAATATTTCCTCACAGTTAATACGAATTTTGTGGGTATTTTTAGATTTTAGATTTCCTAAACAAGCATGCTACCATACAAGCTATAAACCTAATGAAAAAACAGGTGATGCCGACAACCTTCTACATGTCGTGACACTCACAGAGCCCTTCAAATGGCAAAGTCACAATTAGGTACATGCATATCTCCCCAAAACCTTACAATTTCCTTCTGAAAATGTACCAATATATGATTTTCCCCATTTGAAGAAATTTTAGATTTTAAGCTCCAACACAGACTGTGCTGAAGAGGACACATAAGTAAGATACTATAGTTGAAAAGCCCACATTATGTCATAAGACACTCTGTCTGATCCATTCCAGGTGATTAAACAAACTGTTTTAAAAGAAATCAAATACTACTATGGCCTTGGCCTGAGAAAATTCTTTCATTACTGTTAAAGCAAGCTCCTGATACAGATACAAGACAGATTCTAATCCTCTTTTTTGAACAAGAATCTACAAAATTGAAGTGATTCCTGAATGGTTTGGTCACTTATTGCAGCATACGGATTTTTTTTTTTTTAATGTTTTGGGAAAACAATCTACCAGTATTTTTAATGTAGAGGCTTACAGGAACATGGACTTTTCTAAACATTTCGGCTCCTTTGCGTGCATCCAATAAAGCCACATCTTGTGGAGTGGATATGATCACAGCTCCTGGAAAAGAAAACATGAACTACCATTAAAATATGTAATATTAATTATACTATTAAATATTTCGACTATTTACTATATGCTACTAAATTCAAAGTAGTCACACATTTATATGCTTTTTATTTTAAGCAAGAAAACAATGGCAGGGTTTTTTTTTATTATGCAGTGAGCAAAATTACTGAGATACAAAGTGGAGTGATAGAAATAATTTAGGTATGTTCATCATAAGTTTTCCTATGTAGATAACATTTGTATTTTCTAAATAAGAAAACCGATGTAGCTGTTGTATGACCATGGATAGAAGGTAACAGGGTCCACATGCTGACAGGTTGCAAAGGTGGTACTCTGAGAATATCCACACAGTAACTGTCCCATGCCATAATTACATATTACGATAAGCTTTGTCTTAAAATCAACACACAGTTGCCTGTAATCAGACCATTGCTTTTTGAAACTGCTTGGCTTTCTGACACAAGTGTTCACAGGCACAGTATTGAAACATGTTACATTAGACAGGACATCAGCAATTCACGCACACTTGCACTAGGTTTGAAAAAAAGTGTAGTATTGCTCACAGTTCAGACATGGCTCCAGGTTAAGTGATAATACTACTCCCAAGAGTTATCAAGCATATAAAACAGCTAGAGCTCTCTCTTTGCCAAAGGTTAAATTCTAAAGTAAACCTACAGCTTCCTATCCTATATTAATTCTCGATTGATAGAGCCTGCAAAACCAATATAGACATTGAGTGCTGTGGTTTAACTCCAGCTAGCAAAATACAATGAAGCCGCTCTCATAGATTCTCCCTCCCCTCCTCTAGTGGAGGAGAAGAATCAGAGGGAAAAAGACAAGGAAGCTCACAAAATTGGGATAAGAACTACTTACTAATTGAATCTAAATTAATATATACAAATACTACTCATAATAAGTAATTAAAATAATAGAAAATAAACTATATGATGCAATATGATACAATTATGATACAGTTGATACCCACCAACCGATACACAACCAGCTGCTGATAA